AGGGATAATATATATTCTTTATTTATTTATTTATTTCGATTTTCCCAACTTTTGCTATTTCTTCTCCCCCTAAGTTGGTAATATATCTCTTTTATAGGGGCGTCTAATTCTATACCAACTTAGTATATAAATTTGCATTAAAATTCATTTCATTGGGAGGATCACAATCAAAATCTATCTCTTCTGGAGAACAATTTCGATGAAGAATCATTTATTCATTAACTTTATATTTCATGTGTATTTATTATTAAATTTTCAATAATATTTTCTCTTCTGGAGATCTATGTTAATGAGGAGACATATGTTGTGCAGTTGTACGTTTTTCTTTCTTCTCCAATTTAATATGTGCTGACATATAATATCCCCAATCAAAAGAATTGTTATACAAGCATAAATCACTTGCTCGTAATTCTAGTAGGTGATGATCTTCTGGATTGATAAAGACTTAAATAGTGTATCTGGTGAGCTTCTGATCACTTAATAGTTGACAATAATATATAAGTTATTTTGGTGAACTTCTGGTCAGTCATTACTCCTTTATCAGCCATTACTCTTTTATAAAAAAAAAAAAAAAAAAAAAAAAAAAAAAAAGCAAAACATATTAAATCTTGAAATTTTCATCAATACAAATTATTATAACTCACAGTCCAAATATAACTCAATCTCAATATTACATCTTGCCATTCAATTCATTTTATATATTTAACATTGAGAAAGCGTCAGCACATTATCAAATGAAACTTCAGGTTTCCATAACGGGTAATTATTAAACCCGGATGGCCTAATTTAATTATCACATCCAATCACTTCTCTAAATTTGAACTCTGGTCAGTTTTCAACACTAGTGATCACTTTATTAAACTTACTATATGCATGGCCATGAATGTGATGTGATTTTAGAACACCAACATGTGTTTCTTTATACAATTGGCAAGCCAATCAATTAATATTTATAAACTTGATACATGTTAATCTTGTTGGATATTTCATACTCTTCTGGAGTCTTTTATATAATCATGAAACATATGAACTTTACTAAAAGTGATTTCTTCTAGAAATGTAATGATATTTACCACTTCCTCAAATTTGTCATTGTCAATAGTGACTCCTTTCCTTTTCAAAGATACTTAATTATCTTTAGAACCTATTGATTTATCACGCTTCAGGCATGCTATAGGTCCATCAACAATTGATGTTGTACTCTAAGGACATCAATTTTAAATTAGAGCATTTACAACTAGTATATGATAAATGTCATTTTTTTATATCCATCTTCAGGATGGTATCATTTCAAAATATTTAATGAACATGTGGTCACTTTTATTAAATAAATCGTTGATATTTAAGTTACTGTATGTATCAAACTGACTATCAATATATTTTATTATTTATATGCATGGGTTATATACAATATCCCCCTAATCCTTACATATGAGGGTATGGAATGAATCAATCCAACAACCTTTAAAATCCTAGCAACTTTTAAGCCATAAATTCTTTTGCCAATTCTTTTGGCAATATTATGTATCAAGTAACGTGTTCCTTTTAGCAAAAACATGCTTATATAAAATTATATTTATAGAACACTTATCATGTTCCTCATGCCAAATTACATTCATCTTAAAAAAAACAAAACCTCTTATATTTATGGGCATAATAAAACGTTGATTACGTATAGTTTCTCACAATGTCATGTTTAGTTACTTGAACTCATAACACACTTTTGCTATATATTTAATTAATTAAGGAACTTCAAGTCCATATGTACGAGAATATATACCAATCCATCTACATTTTTTCAGAAAGAGAAGGTAAAAATAAGACATGACATAATCAGTTCGAGCTTTAATCAAAACATACCTTATTCGATCCACTCAACTATACTAGCCAAATTAAAATTAGTCTTTGGAAACATAAGTAAACATGACATTTTGTTTATAGAATCACGTTAATATGTAGTGGATATCTAAGCAATATGCTTTATTTATCTTTGTAGATCATGTACATTTCTTTGTATTATCCTTAAGGGATATGTTCAAGCTAATGTGAATACTCTTTATAAATATAAGGAACTTCAGGTCCGCACATCGTATTCAATTTACATTTATTCCAATAATCAAACTTCAAGTAGGTACATAATACTATAATTGAATGAGAAGGTAAAAATATGAAAACCTACTACTTCACGCTTTAATAAAAACATACTTGAATCGATTGAATCAACTATACTGTTGGGTCAATTATATCAATATATTGCCTGATAAAGCTTAAAGAAAATAGAAACAAGCACATAAGCAACCAAAATTAACACGTTCACGTTAGTGGAAAACCACATGTTTCATATCATACTTGAAATATAAAAACATAATTCAATACATAAATTATAAATAGTTTCACATGTATCTTAGGCTTACTTCGTACAATTTACAAACATTCAAGGCATTAGACATAGGATTTCACAAACAAATTAAATGGGTAAATAATTGCTAAATCAAACCATTCATATTTGCTATCAAGCATAGAGAAATAATCAAACTCATTTACGGATAGGAAAAGTAATACCAAAATCTAGCAAATATATGTAATAAAATTTCATGAAAACCATACTTTCATAAAATTAACCTCAATAATAATTCTAAATACCCTTTTAGATTCAAACTAAACAAAACTCATAGTCAAAACAAAACTACTAATTAGTTATTCTGCATCAAATTCAACTATTCCCAAATTGCTCATTAAACTTCAAGAATAATAAAAATACGAAATTTGGGAAACAATATAGACATATTTTGTAAAGGTTTAAAATTAACAATAACAGGAAGTTGAGAATGAACTTTCCTGATATCAAAACCTTTCCCACTATAAAAACCAGTCTTATCGTCAACTTCATGTTATCAACGTCATCTGCTAGCCTGTAACCCATGAAAACGTCAATGAAAAGAAAATAAAGTATAACCCTTGATTAAGGCTAATCTATTATATTATGGATATATGAGAAAGATGAATCAAGATTAACAAACCAATGTAATCGAAAAATAATACGAGTAGTTCTTTGTAACCAAATTATTAATACCGTGAGACTCCTTGTACTAGTCCCAAATTAATTAATGAGGATTGTGTATGATATGACATTCTTGAAACGTGTGATTTCATTATTAAAAAAATCAAAACCCATGATCAAGATTAATCTCCTTCTAATTTCTTCCCAAGATGCGACACAACAAGATAATAATGAGTATAATTTAGCACATTCAGTATACAACGAATTAATCATTAACCTAAGAAATCAACAATCAATAAAATTTACATATTGATTAGAGCTTTGGTGCTGATAACGTGTTGTAAAATAAAGGGAAAGATGAGAGATTGAAAGAGAATAAATCTGTGTATAGTATTCCATATGATAAGGTGTATATATATATATATACAATATATTAGGGTTTGATTGGATAAGAAAAAAAAAACCCTAGATCTAGATTGTTCCTGAATGATACAAAGGAGGATAATGGATATCTACAAATATTTCATAACAAAATGAGTTAATTCTAATAAATAGTGCTATCATAATTACATCCCTTAAAATGTTGAATTACTTAATTACCCCCATTAATATTAATTAGATCTTTTTAAAAAAAATTTAAGAATAGTGTGTTTACATTTATACCCTTTTAAATATTTGTTTACATATTTTACCTCATTAGTACAACTAACAACTAAAGTTGTAATGTAAAACCAAATCGTAAAAATTCCCGAATATTGTTAGCTTTGACGGTGCGAGCCACGTTTGAGATAAAATTTGTAATTCATTAACCATTATTTAAAGGCTTAGATTTGGCCCAAATCAGAATTTCAAATTCTTGCATTACCTTAAGTCCCAAACAGCTCATTTGACCCACATTAGAATTTCGGCATATTCTTAGGTGTATACTCATGCACCTAGAAATAGGTGTAACAACAACACAATATGAACATTAGCTTTTCAGAAAGTGAACATTAGTTTTCTTCCCCTCTATTTTTCTCCTTCGTTTTTTATTTTCTCTCTCCTCTGCTTTTTTTTATTATTATTATTTTCCCCCTTTTTTACACTTTTTTGATTGAATTTGTTTCTTACATCATGAAAGTAGTTATTAAGTATGAATTTTTGTGTGAATTGGTTAAGGTTTATATGAATCTTTGAATTTCAATTGATTATAGTTTATATGAATCTTTGAATTCACAAATTATACTATGTGTTTTATCCTTCCTTCTTTAATTCCTTTTTCCTCGGTTTTTTTTCTAGTTTTCTTGTTTTTTCGATTTAACGATTGAATCTATTCCTTTCAATATGGAATTGGTTTTTTATCTGATTTTTTGAATTCATATGAATTGACTTTTTTTTTAGCTTTGATCAATTTCATCTGTGTATGAATTTCATCTGATTTTCTACATTTTTTTTTATTAATGAACATAATCATGCAAAATATGAACATATGCATAGGATCCCTTAAATGTGAACATTAGCTTTTCAAAAAGTGAACATAGGCATAAAAAATATGAACATATGCATTTCAGAAAGTAAACATAACAATTCAAAATATGAACGTAAGCATTGGTTTCCTTAAAGTGAATATAACCACTTAAAATATGAACGTATGCATAAAAAATATGAATATATGCATTTAAGAAAGAGAACATATGCATAAACAGATGTAATTAATATATCATGAACAACACATATTTACATTATGAAAATTTGAAATTATATATGAACAAATATAATATTATTATGAATATAATGCATTTAATTATGAACATAAAAATTTGAAGAAATAAAAAATAATATTTTTTTTAGGAAAAAGGGGAATTCATTACTTAATTAATTGTTCACAACAAGTTCAAGGGAGTCTTTGAAATGACTCCTACAAAACAAACCAAATAACAGTAGCATAGAACCATGACCTACTAAAGTTCCATTTCTCCTATTACATAATGAAAGACGGATGATTTGTACTACAAGCAAATTAGATGCAACTCTCCACCATATCATTTTCATATGCATTTCTGGCACCCACTGGAATGGTGTTATGTTTGATTATCTCCTCCTCCATCTCGATTGCCAATTTCGCAAGCTGGTGAGCAACCTGATTGGCTTCCCTTTTAACATAGGTAAAATCAAATTTGCAGGTTCCTTTGAGCATTTCTCCAATGTCCCTTAGAATGGCTGCAAGCTCATGTGTTCCATGCTTCCCTATACTCTCCAAGGTGCCTTTAAGAGATTGAGCATCTGTTTCAATCGTGACCTTCTTAAGATTTTCATTGATAGCCAATTCCATTCCACCCTTTATTGCCAGCAATTCAGCTTCCGCGACACTTCTAGCCCTGATTTTCCATGATCCCCCTGTCATCCAAGTTGCATAGAGGTCTCTGATCACAGCTCCTGCACCTGCTATTTCCTCGCTTCTCCAGGCAGCATCCACATTAATTACCACTAGCTGGTCTGTTCCAGTGGATGTTTCCGTTGCTTTGTCTTGGCTTTTTACCCTTTCCCTGAAAAACATTGAGAATAGCAACCAAATCGACCATGTATCTATTAAACATGGTTATAGGATGAACCATGGCATGCCGAAAGGCTACCTGATTCCTAGCCTTCCACATATGCCACATCGCAACAGAAAAAATAGTTTTCCAATCATCACTTAATTGCAAGTTATAATGTATCCAATCAGCCCAATTAGAATTATAGAAGGTATGATAAGAAAAATTATTATCCAGCTTGTTTCCTCTTAAAATTCGGGACCATAAGACCTTAGAATAAATAATAATATGATTATGAAACATATGCATTATAAGTATTAAATGTTCATTTTTTTTACGTGTATTTTTTATTATTAAATGTTCATTATTTTCATGTTTATATTTTTTTACTAAAGGTTCATTTTGTAGATTGTAGTATTGATTTTGGCGGATTGCGGATATGTTATCTGGGTTATTAATTTGGGCCGCGTGTTTTGGACCTTCTCTTGTTGCACCTATCTTAGGTGCATAAGGATGCACCTAAGACCAATTGTAGAATTTCAAATGAATTCATGATACCAAACAGGCCTACCAAGGTCTTTGGATTTTGGGCTAAACAAACAATTTGGGCTATTGAAAAGGGTAAAATGTCTTAGAAAATGCTACAGTATTAAACAAAATAGATTTGGGTTAAAACAAAAGGGATAATCAAGCAATTTTTATATCCATTATGCAACCCCGAACCAAATTAAACGGAGATGAACATCATGCTCTATTTTGGAGGGATACATTTTGGTTTCTACAGATACAAATTACCTTTAATTATACACCATCGTCACATTTTGATACAAACTACCTTTCATTTAATACCAACGTTGAGCAGGCATATCAGAATTCAATTTCTAAGCTAGCGTCAGGCATCAGCTAATTAAGCGCATAGAATAGTGTTTTTTTTTTTTTTTTTAAATAAAATAAAATAAATAATGTTCAGCAATACTTGTACATGCGTATAACAAATGTTTGCATTCTTAATTACAATTGGGGTTTTTCTGATGGAACTGCACAAGAGCTGCAGCCCAAAGAATCAATGCATAGATGTGATATATGAACTCAAGTTACCAACAGAACACAAAGAGAATTAAATGTTCTGATTTCAAATACATGAAAAAACCACAAAGGGTTGTATTTCAAGTCATTACAAATGAATTTTCCTAAATTTTCCAAGTCCTAAAAAAATTACAGCAAAAAGATGCATCTTGATGCCTAGAAAATATAATGTATGCCGCTATTTTTCTGCTCCTATTCTTCTCTGCAGAGTGGGGTAGTATAAGATCCATGTCTCAAAATCCAATCAAGCAGGATGTGTGTTAACCTGTGTTCGCCCTATATGAGATAGCCTGGAGGATGTAATTAAAGGAGCTTCTTCGTCAACAATCATTTCAGAAGCTGAATTACTCCCTCCACCTCCACCAGTCTTAACATCATCGTTGGGTACATATATATCAGATGACTTCTTTTCAAACTTCCAATCCTGCATCCAGCAAAGTAAAGGAATCTCAACAAAAAATTACATCACTGCCATAATTTGTCCTGTTTTTCAAGTCACGTTAAACAGGCCTACATGTAAATACCTTGAGATTTTTTTAAATAATCTTAAAGTAGTCTCAAAATTGCTGCAAATCATCATTTATAAAAATAGTGTTCTGTGATGGATACTTTGTATGGCTAGTGAAAATATATACACTGAGTCACATACTAAGCAGCACAACTTTAAATTTAAATGTCTAACAGCAGTAGCCAAACTCAGAATTTATCAAAAGAGAATTTTTGGACATGATATTTACAGCTTTAACAATTACTAACTAAAAACAATGGTAGTCTTATGAAACACACAATACTGAAGAACACGACCTTGGTAGTCACTTAAGCCTAATAAAGCATGAAATTTACTTGACTAAAGGAAAAAAATCTAAATGAAATATATATTTAATAAAGCAATAAAATAAGTCTTTCCATCTCATATTAGTTGCTCCATTTTCTTTATGGAATAGTCATTAACTTATCTATAATTTCCTACCACTACAATACTAGACAGGGGAAAAAATTATGGATCTTTCATCTTTGTAAATTCTTCATCTAAAGTGCATCAAAATGTCAACATATTATGGTAATCCGTATTTACTAAAACACAAGCTAAAGATCATAATGGTCATTGGTGAATTAAGGCCTTGGGGATGAGAACGGCAATTGGGACGAGTAATTAGAGAGATAAATACATGCTCATAAACCAGCAGAAAGTCATAAAAATAGTACAACCTTGCTAAATAGAAAAGACAATCATTGAGATTAAAAAAAGCAAACCTTTGTAACTCTATCTGTAATTCTTTCAGGTGAAGCTGGTTGAGTTGCACGAACATCCTTCACCTTTAGATAGTTGTACATAACAACACCAACAAGTGCTACACAGTCGAACCAATTGAAAACATAAACATTCAAGAAACAGGGAAAAAAAATGAAAAAATAAACAAAAGAAATTAGATAAATTAAGGGTCACTAAAATTAGTCCACACAATGTTAAAGAAGGTTAGTACCAATTGCATAACCAATTATATTGAGCCCTGTAATGGCTGACTCTGGAAAAATCACTGTTGAAAGGGCTATCAGAATCCAGTCTTTAAGAACACCAGCAACACGGATAGTAACTGCCCCAGTTCTACCGATAACCAAGAAAATTGAGAAGTTCAAGGCCAGTGCGCAAAGAGCATTGGAGAAGAAAATCCAGAAATTAAACTGAATACGAGAAATATCCATGTGAGGTTGCTCCAGCATATACCATGGTATGAACAGAAACATAAAACTGCATGGCAAAAAGTACAGATGTATAAGATAATTTTCTTCATAACAAAGAATAGTCTAAGCTGTTCAAAATGTCAACTGTAACACAGAAAACGACTCCATACATGTTTTTTTCTCACGCTCAAGCAGTTTAACACCACAAAAGAGAAAGTGCTGATTCACTAAACACATATGAGAAGAAAATTTTGCAAGACATCACGTTTTACACAACCCTTATTGGATTTCACTATCCTTTATGAAATTTTTTGAATAAACATCTTTATCTTTTAAGTCATTATCTTTAAGCTAAAACAACTCTAAATGATTGTCATATGACTCTAAATTGACCACAAATTGTTGTAAAAATCAAAATTTCACCCAGGTTGACCAAAAAATTGACCAATTAAAGGTCAAATTTGACAAGGTTTCAGCTTCCAAGTTATAATATATAATTGTTATAAATAGCAATTCAAATAGGTAAACAATTTCAAAAGTATAAATAAAAAGATAACAAATTTTACTTTGATTAAAAATACATAAATAAACAAACTCAAGGGTTATTCAACTACAGACAACATTATGTCATTTCAAAGGAAGGTCACCAGCTACTAGAAGAGCTATAAATATAACTATAACTATAACTTTAGTATGATATAATATCCTAGAGCCTCTCATGATGCCTGCAGGCTGCAGCCTTTACCCCTCGTTAAGATAATTCCCTTCATACAGCCTATCAGGAAGACATAGACTAACAAACTTGACAACAGATTCAATAATCGAAAGCTAGAAAACTGACAAATAGCGAGCTTTTTATCTATGAAGATTGTTAAAGCAGACAGCTATCTCTCTGATCTCTAGCAAAAACAAAATAAATTGACTAAATTATACAACAATAATACATCATTTATTGATGAGTTTGCTAATGACAGAATTTCCACACATGTACTAAGGACAAACACTAATTGCCCACTTCATACCTGCATGGAGCTATGTAATACAAGCTGGTGATTGGATTGAGAGTCAAGCCCTTCTTTTGTAGGAGGACTTGAGTCAGGACCAGCCTAAGTGCTTCAGCAAATATTCCAGTGACTTGATATAGTGTGCCTATGATGTTAAAATGGATTTCCCCATATGAAGAGACAACGACTCCTACACTGACCAGGAGCATGTTCAAGAACACGTCACACCTTAGCTTGTCAGTGCCACACACAACAGCCATGAGAAAAGTTGCCACAGGCACTGCATTAAGCACGCTTTTATAAAAAATAATGATATAATAACAAAAATAACTATGTAGTACTCTGAAGTACATAAAAAATGAAAGACAATTCAAACTATTTATTGCACATACTCAGAGCTTTAAGCATTTGAATGAAGGCCACTGAAATATGCAAATAAGCAGTGTTTCCAAACCTGAAATTACCAGAAAAAACAAACATCATTGACACATCAAAGTTTGGCTCACAGCCTCACATATTAGAAGTGAAAATTCATAATTCCTCCGTTTTTATTTTTTTCATTGCATCACTTTTGTAATTGCACACTCCTAAGCGTTCTTCGGAGTAGAGGGAGATAGAGAGAAAAAATAAAGAGGACCATGTGATAGGAGAGAGATTAGAGAATTTTTTCACCAAAAAGGAAATTGATGCATCTAAATTGAAACTTCCATTTTTAGAAAGAGATGGATCCAATAAAACAAATAAAATAACCGAGAAAGTACAGCAAAACTTTTCAGATTTAAAATATAAAAAAAAAAAAAAAGGGATTGTGCAAAAATCAACCAACAGGCCTATTGCACACTCTTAAGAGGTGACTCAATAAGTCAATAATACTACCTCCATTACATATTATTGATTTGACATAAAGTAGAGAGGAAAATTGTCTAATCGTTGCAAATAATATGAAGCGGAGGTAGTATACACTTTAATGCAATTTCAAGCTTACATATGTACAAGCATATTTTATGCATCCTCCTCAGTCCCCAAACAGCATCATATCTAACTTAGATAGTGAAGTGCCATAAAATATTTCATGCCTTCCATAAAAAATCTCATGCCATCCACTAATTGATTCTATTAAAATTACAAATTTGACAACAACAAAAAAATACGACTCTCTTAATCTTGTTATTATAACTAGAGTATACACTTTTCCATGTTGCCTTTGGAGTTAACACAAGCATTCCCTGTCTCCACACATGATGACTTAG